GGCTGCTGTTGAGAGGATTAAAATATGGGAGGAGAAGTATGATTCGGGCTATCTTCAGCTGGGTGCAATTGGATTCCCAGATTGTGAGCAGTATACGTGGTGAGTATGGGATACTGCTATTACCTGTCCTTTATATTCAGCCCGAGGAAACCTTATGCTAATTTAGTATGCAGGGAGCTGTATCTCTGGGCTTCAACTATCATTACCTCCCGAGCATTCTCGTCAAAGGTCCTATCTGGGGCTGTCCAGCCTGATGATCTCCCAGAAGATGGAGTCTCGGCGCTGCTTCCACTCATTGACCTTCCAAACCATCGACCAATGGCGAAGGTTGAGTGGCGCGCGGGTGATAAGGATATTGGTCTTCTTGTGCTTGAAGATCACTCAGCAGGCCAAGAAATTTCCAACAATTATGGGCCTCGTAATAATGAACAATGTATGTATCGCATTTTCCATGGCGGTGGCATTCATGCTTCTTAAACATTTGAATCGTCACAGAGACTGACTATAACATAGTGTTGATAAACTATGGATTCTGCATTGCTGGAAACCCAACTGATTATCGAATTGTTCACCTGGGTGTCAAGCCCGACAGCCCGCTCGGCGAAGCCAAGGCTCGGCAGCTAGAACTGTTCCCTCAGGTTGCCAAGAACATTGAGGACCACTATTACATCTTCAATCCCTTTTATCCACTACTGGCCCCCGAAACAACAATGGAGCACTCGATCTTCTCGCCGGCATTGTTCAACGCATTGACCGTCATGGAATCAAACACACGCGAGCGCAAAATGCTCGAAATCACCGAAGACTGTATTCGAATCCCCCCAGGATATGGAAACAGCCATAGTATCTATGCTGCTCTCGCTCAGATTAGCTTTGAGCTGATGGCTCATGCCACAAACCTGAAAGCCAGTGCGGAGCATCTGCCTTTGCAGCCAACCACCCTGAACCAGACTCACTCCCAGATCTACCGTAATGGGCTCATAACATTAGATCAGGCTGCATTGGTTATCGCTACCTGGACTATCGCACGCGGTAGGGAACACAAGCGTGGTGAAAGTTGGGAAGATACCAAGGTCCTCCTGCATGAACTAATGGCACGTGTCCCGGCCGGTCTTCTTTCGGACGATGTCATGTCCCGAATCCGAGTTCGTATCCTGGAGCGTCCATCACTCATCACTAAGAATGGTGAGCTGTTCAGGTTAGGCGAGCTTTTCAGCCTTCTCCCGGCTGAAATGCAGGAGCCAGCTCAGACATGCTTCCAGCATGCCCTCGGAGTGGCGAGCCAAGCCGTCCCGAGTATATCCACCGATCCACAGACCATGTTTGCAACTGTTATTTGCTTGCTAGTTGCAACATATAATTCACCAGAGGCACGGTCAAGATTGTCGTCGCGTCTCAACCAATGGTTTACTTTCCTGTTTGAGCAATACCCTCCACCTTCTGACACTTCCAGATCCATTGAAATTGGCGGGGAGGAAGGCAGTGAAACTCTTCGTCAATTCCAAGAATATACTTCGACGGAACGACCAATGTTATGGGCATCTGGTGATGGAGTTAATTGGCTTACCGAGGCTAGTGGGTGGTTGGACCCAGATTGGCTTCAATGGGCATGGACAGTGGCAGGCTCGGAAATGGTGATGATTCCTCTTGACCCATTTGAGATCCTCAAAATGGAGGGATCTTTGTCTATGCTGAAGCAGGCTTGCTTCTATGTACCGCAAGAGTAAGTTTATAAATGAAGAGTTGTTTACAGTTTAGTTTGCCTGCTTTTATCCGGTCTTATCCCTCCTGACTTGGAGATGAAATCACATAAGAAAAAAAATATAGGAATAACCGGAGCATGTACCTAAAAGAGAAATTTGAAGACATGCCAGAGAAAGAGGCTACTTAAAGCGGCCGTGTCTTTATGTATACAGGTCACGTGGTGTAACATACTTGAGGTCGTCATGACCAAATCTGGAATACTTACTCAGCAGCATAATCACGTGAAGTGCTACCACCCAATCATATCGAGCCCAAAGGCGGATCATTCAGCAAGCGCAGGAATTGCCGTGAGCTCCACGACTCCCTTCCCTCCTTCTCCACGACCCTTTGACCCTCACCACGCATTGTCACCCCCGCCGTCATCATGATATCCAGAGCGGCGGCTCCCTCCACCTCCTCCCTTTCCCACCTCTCGACCCGCTCCCTCCGCGCCCAGGGGGCGGCCGCCCGCTCCTTCGCATCTGTGTCGGAGGCGCCTCCCGTGAAGCACTATGGCGGACTTAAGGACCAAGATCGGATCTTCACCAACCTTTACGGACACCATGGAGCGGACTTGAAGTCATCAATGAAATATGGTGACTGGTACCGGACCAAGGATATGATTTTGAAGGGTGATGATTGGGTGGGTTGTCGCACAATTGACGGGCTGGGGAATTACCAATTGCTAATGCTATGAACAGCTCATCTCCGAGATCAAGGCATCTGGCCTCCGTGGCCGTGGTGGTGCTGGTTTCCCTTCAGGATTGAAATACGTAAGTGGCCTACACGCAATTCAGACGAAGACGAGTGTTTTGGGATACCCGGGCTGACCCGCTACTCGACAGTCGTTCATGAACTTCAAGGATTGGGACAAGGATCCTCGCCCCCGTTATCTGGTTGTCAATGCAGATGAGGGTGAGCCTGGTACTTGCAAGGACCGAGAGATCATGCGCAAGGACCCCCAGAAGCTGATCGAGGGTTGCTTGGTGGTGGGTCGTGCTATGAACGCCAACGCCGCCTACATCTACATCCGTGGCGAGTTCTACCACGAAGCTACTGTTCTCCAGCGTGCTATCAACGAGGCCTACGAGGCTGGTCTGATCGGCAAGAACGCCTGCGGTACCGGATACGACTTCGACGTGTACATTCACCGAGGAATGGGCGCCTACATTTGTGGTGAGGAGACCTCGCTCATTGAGTCCATTGAGGGTAAGGCCGGCAAGCCCCGCCTCAAGCCTCCCTTCCCCGCCGCCGTCGGTCTGTTCGGTTGCCCCAGCACAGTCACCAACGTCGAGACCGTTGCCGTGACACCGACCATCATGCGCCGTGGTGCTAACTGGTTCTCTTCCTTCGGTCGTGAGCGTAACGCCGGTACCAAGCTTTTCTGTATCTCCGGTCACGTCAACAACCCCGTCACAGTAGAGGAGGAGATGTCCATCTCGCTGCGCGAGCTGATCGAGAAGCACTGTGGAGGTGTCCGCGGTGGTTGGGACAACCTGCTCGCCGTTATCCCCGGTGGCTCTTCCACTCCCGTCATCCCCAAGTCTGTGGCCGACAACCAGCTCATGGACTTCGACGCCCTCAAGGACTCCCAGACCGGTCTGGGTACAGCTGCCGTCATCGTCATGGACAAGTCCACAGATATCGTCCGCGCCATCTCCCGCCTGTCTACCTTCTACAAGCACGAGTCTTGCGGCCAGTGCACCCCCTGCCGTGAGGGCAGCAAATGGACCATGCAGATGATGCAGCGTATGGAGACCGGAAATGCCCGCGAGCGCGAAATCGACATGCTCCAGGAGCTCACCAAGCAGGTCGAGGGTCACACCATCTGCGCTCTGGGTGAGGCTTTCGCCTGGCCTATCCAGGGTCTGATCCGCCACTTCCGTCCCGAGCTGGAGGCCCGCATCCGCCAGCACGAGAAGGAGCTTGGCGCTGCTCCCTTCGCCGGTGGCTGGCACCCCAACAGCCGTGCTGAGGGCAAGCTGATCTCCCCCGGCATGTAAACGCACCTCCCACATTTCCTTTTTCCATTTACAACCCTTTTTCTCCGTTGGCCCCTCAAAAAGAAGCAGGAACGGGTCGGGGATGATTATCACATCTAGACCTCCCTTATATCTCCCTCTCCCCGGCCGGTAATGTCTTTTGTTTCTTGTTTGTCTGGTCCGGCCGGGCAGGGTGGTGTTTCTCTTTTCTTTACTCTGCTCGATCCCCTCGTGTTCCTCTATCGCGCCTAGGTTTTCCTTTATTGTACAGTCGGTAGCAAATTTGATGCATTTGATGTCTTCATTCGTGCTATGTAGCGTATTCCCCTTTCTCCTTTTCCATCAGGTTAATCCCATGCCCATAACAGACGATTGAATGCAGTAACAGTAAAGTCTGACCGAAACAATTGACGGTAATTTGTCTTGAACGTAGTTGGTGGATGCCTCCATCACGGGTGAGTATTATGTATCCCGTTCACCTATCGTTGTCGTTGTCGTCGTATGAATATCGTTTCTTCGTATGTGGTCAAAAGCCTGTACATGCAGTTCAAATCCCACATGTAATTTATTGAGCAGGCGGGGTTCGAAGTTGTAGCTCATTCAGACAGGCATTGTGGAGATCCGGTGCTCGCCAATCCACAGCACCTTCATGAGCTCTTGGTCGCTATTCTTTTCAACCACATCAGTCGTGTTGTGAATAAACGAGGTAGTTGAAATCTGCAAAGTGCAGATCGATTTTCTGAGCCTGGACGACATGTCGAAGGACCGAGCCAACGGACTGTTGCCGCGCTCATCTCCACAACTTCGATGTCGATGAAGGAAGTATTTGAAATCTGTAAAACGCATATCAAGTGGGCCTTTAGGACTTGTCCCATAGAGTTAGCCCACTGTTTGAATCGGCTATGGGTATGGTGTACAAGGCTGATGTCCACTGTTTCCTCATTCTCGCGCTGTTTTTGTGTAGGCTCAATAGCCTGTCAGCTCCATCTGAGCTTCATCTGTAGCTTCTACATCCCATAGAAAACTAGGCCATTAGCGGACTTTGCCGTTAAGCTCAAGGTGTGTGGTATGTCAGGTTGTGCAAAGTAAAAAGTTGAAGTGCCTGTTGTGCAGACAAGGGAAAGTGCCATTTGCGCCGTTACGGAAAGAGCTATACTTTGCTACTTTGATACTTGGCTACTTCTCTCCTCCTCTCCTTTCCATCTCTCTATCTCTCCATCTCTATATCTCTCTATCCGTTATTCATTGTATTCCACTTGCTATACCTTATTCATCATGGAGCCCCAACAGATTCCAGAAGGAAGTCGTGATGGAAATACCGTGACAGTACCTGGTCCCTTCTATAATGCCCCGGTAGAACACATCATAAGGAGAGTCGACAGTGGATATAGCCCTGGCTTGACTCAAGTCTCCGTTGCTGCCCCACTCATATGGACATCCCCCGGCGGTGCCAACAACGTCCATAATCAGCCCGAAGCTACTGTTGAGGGCTCAAACTCACCGCCAGCTACAGAACCACGCATCGACGCCATGGAAGCAGCACCTAGCGATTCACAGCCATCGTTCTCGGCATTCAAAAAATACGAAAAGTTATTCATCGTGATCATGGTGACTCTTGCTTCGTTCTTCTCCCCTCTTTCCGGTCAGATCTATTACCCTGTCATGCCAACGTTGGTACGGAACTACCACCTCACCCCGGAGCTAATCAACATCACAATCGCAACATATATGATCTTTCAAGGCCTGGCACCGAGCCTCATGGGCACATTCGCCGACACCGGGGGCAGACGTCCAGCGTATATCATTGCATTTGCAGTATACACCGCTGCCAACATTGGACTGGCGTTGCAGAATAGTTTCGCGGCATTGCTTGTCCTCCGCTGTCTTCAGGGTGCAGGGAGCAGTGGCACCGTGGCATTTGGATATGGCGTTACAGCGGACATTGCGACAACAGCCGAACGTGGAAAGTATATCGGGCCCATGGCAGCAGGTGTCATGGTTGCGCCTGCGCTGGGCCCTGTTATCGGTGGCCTTTTGGCGAAATTCCTCGGCTGGCGCAGTGTTTTCTGGTTCCTGGTCATTGTTAGTGGGGGCTATTTGGTGTTCTATGTGCTTGCTATGCCAGAGACGGCGCGCAAGATTGTTGGCAACGGTAGTGCAGTACCAAATGAGTGGTGGCGCAGGTCTGTCATCCAATGGTGGTCGAAGAGGCAGGCCCAGTCAGACGAAGAAGAGCAGATTGGTGCAGAAGGACCCCAAAAACAGTCTCCGCATGCTAAGAGACTCAGGTTCCCGAATCCCCTCAGGTCCTTTGCCATTCTGCTGGAGTGGGATGCCTTGATCATCATCTTGTACGTCGGGATTGTGATGTTCTCGAATATCGCCCTCTTGACAAGCACTCCCAATCTCTTTGGTCCCCTATACGGTTTCAACGAGCTCCAGATTGGTCTCTGTTTCTTGTAAGTCCCCATGTATCCCTCTCTATCTTCCCAACCAGTTGTCTATTATCTAACACAAACTGCCAGGCCCTTCGGAGTAAGCTCTTGCCTCGGCGCAGTCCTATATGGGAAAGTCATTGACTACAACTACAAGCGGACAGCCCAAAAGCTCGGATTCCCAGTAGACCGGAGGAAAGGAGATGACTTGCGTAATTTTCCAATTGAACGTGCTCGCCTACAAACAGTATTCCCAGCAATGGCTATCGGCGTTGCGGCATTCATCCCATACGGCTGGGTCCTGCAACAAAGAGTACACTTAGCTGTCCCGCTGATACTGCAGTTCATCATAGGCTTCTGCTTCGTTGCATCCCTGAACTGCCTCAACACGCTTCTTATCGACCTATTCCCAGACAAGCCCGCCACTGCTGCATCGGCATGCAATTTTGTTCGCTGCTGTCTTGGTGCTGTTGGGGCTGCTGTTATTAGCCAGATGCTGAATGGTATGGGGTGGGGGTGGTGCTTTTTCTTTTTGGGCTTGGTCATGGCTGTTGGGATGGGGTTGCTCTGGGTTGAGAATGTGTATGGGATGGGCTGGAGAGAGAAGAGGTTGCTCAAGATCGAACAGAAGAAGATGGAGAAGGAGGCGAGGGCCGCTGAGATTCAGGTTGAGGGAAAGTCCGATGGCAGAGAACAGGAGGACACTAATGGTCCTGATGCTAATGCTGGTGTCACTGGAGGAGCTAATACTCGCTCAAACCAGTGAAGTTAAAACCGAGAGATGATCGATTTGATATTCTAAGGTGGTAGGCGATGCTTTCTGCATGTTGCTAATGTGGCGAATGAGAAGCCTAAGTCACGGTTGTACGTACTTCTCTATGAATGAATAACCCTTTTCATGTCTTTTAGTAGCCTTGTCTCTCAGATGTCATTTTTTGAGATATCATACCCTTATCGGTACTAGCCATAAGCCATTGGATTGAGTGAAAAATGTGAAATTTCATGCTTCATGCCTAATATGAGCAAAATACAACCTAGATCCAGAGTTGGCCACCAACGACGTATCCTATATTTTACGGCTCACATCAATAAGGGTGGGATATCTCAAAAAGGAGACATGCATCCGAAGAAACATGACAAGACCGCATGGGTAGGCGGTCGACGATTCTTGTAGTTTATATGTACGGAGTAGCATTTCAAGATAACTTCGACTGACATGTCATTATTTACATGTACACCTAACTGTTCAGAGGAAAGTAGATAGGGATCTATATAGAACACTACATTGTAAACATGAGCACATATACCAGGCCACCCTCGAAAGACATTCCAGGATACGAATATAGCAAAACACAACCCAGACTCGTTGTACTTAGGGTTACGGCTAGTGAGCAGAGTCTCAAGTACCACAAACTGTCCATAGATATATTCTCTATTCTGCTACAATGTCTACACTGGAGAAAGAAAAGGACAGAATGAATTGGTTCAAATAGTAGATTTTCAGCAATAGGGTAGAGTACAATACAGGTCATGGGAACCATTTGAGATCATTTGGGGGACAGAACACAAGAGAAAAAGTAAAGAAAAAGAGAAAAACAAAAGAAAAAAAGATCAGGTGTGCTTGGGCTTTGAATAGTTAGTGCCCGCTAATTCCACAATGAACATATGCAAACTGGAACATGATTTTCTTATTTCCTCGAAAAACTTAATAGCCACCCGCCATGATGACGCCGTAGTACCGACGGCTCATCTCTGCGGTCTGCAAAACGCGAGCATCGCCTGTCAAGGGAAGGCCCAGGACAGCGGAGGATTCAACAGACTGTAGAAAGATAAAAGTCAGTATTGAACGAAAACAATATAGCAACGGGAAAGGTGGAAGGGAACTCACATGAACATCCTCGTGCGTAATCCAGCCGGCGACAGCGCGGCTCATCTCCTTGAACGCAACACGTTCCTCCAGTCCTTCCAAGCTGGATCCCTGGACACGATCACCCATTGCAACAAGAGCGTTCACCAAGCGGTTAAGACGAGTTGGATCACGTCGGCCGCTGGTGGAGTTGACCAGACGGAGGAAATCTTCGTAGACACCGCCGCCAGAAGACCAGCCGCGCATTTTACGCTCGGGTCCGTCGCCGAAGCCGGAGACCAGAGCTTCGAGGGTGCGGTAATCACCTTCGATGATGGTGCTTGGACCGACGATGCGACAGAATGTAGCGTGGGCGTCGTTCCAGTGCTTGCCGCGAATGAGACAGTCGACCTCGCGGGCGGCGTCGCCGATGTCGCGAGCATGCAGAGCCTTGGCAACCCAGATCCAGGCCTCGGGAAGCTGGAGCTCGGTGATGAGATATTGCCATGCTGGGTGGGAGGAGCCGTCGGCGGCGAAGGGCTCGGGGAGTTGAGCGGCGAACCGGGCGAGAGTTTCTTGGACGGCGCGCTTGCGGTCGTTGGCTTGGGAGAGGTGCAGGAGGACAAACAGTGCTTGATCAAGTTTTCCGCCTGCACTGAGTTCAGAAGCGAAATCCCAGACGAGTTGGTCGGTTTGGTGTTGATCGATTTTGATAGCCTGGTTTTGTCCGACTGTCGCAGCGAGAACGTGGTGTAGCTGGAAGGAGAGTCGATTGGAGAGACGGTCACCAGAGACGGATTCGGGGAGGAAAGATGCCGGGAATTGGATGGATTGGGTGCCTTGGCCTTGAATCACAGAGAACGCCTTGAGTAGAACCCAAAGAGGAGATTCGCGCCCAAGAGTATCAGATCCGGGCTGCAGGACTGTCTGTGTACTGGCTTGGTGCGATGGGTGGGGGAAAGCGGGTTCTTGTCCAGTGGCCAAGTCCTCAAGGAACTTGGCGACAGCCACCTCGATAGGCTCATCTTCAGCAGTGCAATACCACAGACGAAGACCAAAGGCCTGGAACCAATCAAGATCGAACCGCTCGGTGAAGCCAAAGCTGGAGGCCCGGTCTTCAAGCGCACCGCCCGATTTGCCCTCGCTGCGGAGAGCATTTCCTGCAACCAGTTCGTAAAGGGCTCGGGTGGGTTCACCGATCTCCGAAAGAATGTTGTTCTGACGCCATACCTCGATCTGGTTCGCGATGTCGGCCTGCGAGGTAGCATCGCGGCCAATCTGTGCGACAATAGTCGCCAGATGGGGATTTTGACTGTCGATCAATGTCTTACACGCTTCCTCCACTCGGTGCGAACAAATCAAATGAACTGCGCGTTCGACGGGGGAGCGAATCAGATCCAGTTTTTGGGAGTGCTTCTCACGAATGATTCCCTCCCAAAGACGCGTGAGTCGGTCTTTCTTGATCCGATGTGCAAATTGCTGTCGTAGACGCGGCGGTACACCGGCTGAGATGTCATCCTCAATATCGTCGTTAAAAAGAATGTTGAGAAGCTGCCACACCAAACGCTCTTCCTCCGACTGGGAACGGGTAGACGGCGAGAGAGGGAATTGCGACAGGTCGACCTTGGCCATACGAACGAAAGGAGTGCCGTCGATACGCTGGATAGAGGACTGAAGTCGCTGAACATCAAGCATTTCCTTGACCTGTACGATCATCAGTATCAAGTTCAAATAAACACTACAAAAGCCACCAAACATACCTCGCCAGATTGGTTGTAAGTCATCACTGTAATATCGCGTTCCTCGCTGAAAACAGAGAAACTTTCTTTCCAGGTCTGTTTCACATCCAAGATTGTCTCCTCCATATCGTTTTTCGCGCAGATGAGGGAGTCCATGGGACCCCAGCGGGGTTTGAAAGAGTCGTGGAAAGCGGCGTCGGATTCGCTCATTTGTGTTGTATCGCCAGCAAAGGTCTTGGGTTGCTTGTTGTAAGGCCACTGAAAGGAAGAAAAAAAGGTTTAGCTCAGGTTATCACATTGTTAAACTATCTGAGGGGTGATGTGCAAGTTCATAGATACATGGTGCAGTGACACAGGGAAAGAAACAAAGGGATTGATAATCAGTGTGAACATAAGAAGGGAATTCTAACCTCAAAGCCCTTTGGCGGTGCCTTAGAAGCCTTCAGCGGAGAAGGGGCAGCTTGCTTGCGCGGCTGCTGAAACAAAGAGTTCATAAGATCAATGCTGTTCGAGAAACCTTTCTTCGCAGGAGATGTCGCAATGGTTGTAGGAGATTCATCGTTGACGAGGTTGCGGTCAATGAAAGCGTTCGCCTGCATTTCACGCAAGGCATCACGGTTCTGCTTGCGAGGGCTGATGGTGCGCTGCAGCTGTTCGGCCCAGTCGCCACTCAGATCAAGTTGAGGCTTTGCAGGGCTGCCGAAGTGTTTTGAGATAGGGTAAGTGGTATCCAGATCACCGTTGGTGCTCTGGTAGTCGTCCCGCTCCACGGTGCGATGAGGAGTCGGAAAGGCACCCGCCATATCCATTTCATCTGCCTCATCTGATCCAACTACCGAATCGCCAGACTGTTGGCTCTCGGTGACGACGACGTCGTCGTTCTCAGTAGTCGAACCCGTGGAGCCTTCCTCTAAAAAAGACTCGGTTTCACCCTCAGAAAAATAATCATCCTCCACAGGCATGGCCTGACTGGCGAAAGAGCCAGGAACAAGCTTGCGCTTTTTGAAATCGAAGGTATCGTCTTCAACACCAATCATAGAACCGACGAAGGACTCATCGATGGAGAAGGTGGTGGACTGATCGAAATTCGTGGACTGGTCGAAGTGAGCCCTAGGGGTAGGGTGGTCAGGGCCCTGGGCACTCATGGTGCTCTGGTCAAGACTCTCACCTTCCTCTTCATCATAGTCAAGGCCGTATGTAGTGAAATGAGGCACCTTAAAAACCCAAGTTCCAGTCTCAGTCTCGTAGTTAACGAACTCAGTATCTCCGACCTTCTGCAGACGGTCAATGTGTTTGTCGAACAGGGGACCACTAGTGACAGGCGAGTTGCTCTTCCTATCTCTACCGCGGGGCCAGGAGTTCTCAATCCGCAGGGTAGATGGCACGTTCAGTCCTTTGCCTCTAGCAGGCTTGACCGATTCCTCGGGGTAGACAGTAATCTTGCGAAGACCGATATCAACAATGTTGGAGAAAAGGTTATCCAGATCAACGGTAGTCAGATCAACGGCCCCGTTGAAAGTGACAGATCCGCAGTTCTGACGTCCGACAGTGAAGTCAACGACTTGTCTGAGCTGGTCGCGGCTCAATCGGCTAAGCTCGGCACGGGAAGGTTGCATCCAGTACTCACCAGGCCTCGGGTCACCGCCAGGGATGAACGTAAGGCGCTTAACGGTAGCACCGTTGGTGGTTTGCGGTGCGCTTTCGGGGACAACAGCAAGTTCACGGCGGGCAGCCTCCGTCTCGGGACGATCGGAAGTGCCAGCAGCATCAAAGCCATTCAGACTACCGCTCTTGCGCACAGAGCGAAGGAAGCCAAGCTCCTCGGCAGACGGTTCAGGGCTGTTAGGTTCAACGCGAACAAGGTCTCCACCGTTGAGCCCGGAGGTATTAGAGTCGAAGCTGACCTTTTTCTTCAGCTTGTCGGCAGACTGAGCAGCATCTTCTCCGTTGGTGATCAGAGGGGCAGGGGAAGTGCGAGTGGAGGTCGACAAAATTTCATTTCTCAGACCACGGTTGATAGTGAGACGCTTGAGGTTGCTGTTACCACGTACGCTGCCGGCCTGCAGGGCACCGGGAGAAAGAATGCTGTCCGCCTCTGGGTCGAAGGTCTTGCGAAGGTTGCTAGTAGAGTAACTCTTGCTGAAGGTGCGGCCAATGCTACCATTGACGCTGCCGCGGAGA